TAAACATCTTACATTTCTTGCAAATTCATTAGTACCTGTTAACCTCCATCACTCCGACACTGGCAACCTTATTTAGGGATTAGTAACCCTCACAACTATTGTATTTTATTCTGCTCCAACCATTATACCTGGTGGTCATACTCAATTTAAAATTGTTTTCCTATATACTTCTGTAAACTTGTTGACAAATATCTGTTTTTTATTGAGTCACCCGTATCAACAGTTTATGGATTTGCATACATAATTTATTGTTTTATTATTCTCTCATACATAAAAATACACTATAAATATGGTAAATCTCCCGAGCCTGATGAAGTTCCTATCGAATTATTCAAAATTGTAAATACTGAATCTATTGATCTTCTTTAAGCTACTACTAGATAATACGGAAATTGAATGGATGGATCACAAAACGTACTGATCAGACAAAAGAAATAAAGAAATAAGATGCCGCATTGAAATTGCACGGTCAACTTTTAATAGAATGAGAAAACTTTTTTGTAATCGCGATATCAATATATCGCTCCGGATAAGAATGCTTCAATGTTATATTTTCTCTACTCTTTTATATGGGGTTGAAGCTTGGACACTTAAAAAATCCAAAACAATGCGAAGTTTTAAATTCCATAAAAATCAGGAAATTGGAATACTTGGGGCACATCATGTGAATTGAAAAATACGAACTACTAAGGGATATAATGCAGTGTGAAATCAAAGGCAGAAGAGGCGTAGGAAGACGTAAAATCTCGTGGCTACGTAATCTCCGTGCATGGTTTGGATGCAGTTCTATTGAACTATTCAGGCGCGTAACCAACAAAATTATAATTGCCAGAATGATCTCCAATCTCTGATAGGAGTGGACCTTGAAGAAGAAAAAGAAGATGGTAAATGATAGATAATAACTAGATAACGAAATATAATGGTTTGACAAAGAACAACAAGAAACACTGAATGCAGCGAAACTGCAAAACAAAATGTGCACCAATCAGTTTAACCTAAAACTCATGAAGGAACTCAATATTAAATAAACCAAACAAGTATTTGTCTCAAAGACATTAGAAAAACATCCGTCAGAAAACATTATCAACAAAAATCATAAAAATATAACGATATATTTACCCGTAAGTTGTATGAAATAATGGCATTACAGCATTATAATAGAAATATGGACACAGGAATCCTGTCCAATGATTGGAATATTGGAATACATTGCACCATATCACAGGAGATATCTTTAAATGCTCTAACCACAGAGGAACTACGCTTCTAATTGTAGCATATAAAATATTTTCCATAGTTTTATATCACCGTATGCCACCATACGCAAAACAAATAATAGGAAAATACCGGACTGGTTTCAGAGGTGCTAAATCGACAATTCATCAGATTACAACCCTGAAACAAATTTTGAAAAAAAACACTGGAATATGGCATTGATACTCATCATATTTATAGCCTACAAATCAGCCTTCGACTCTGTGAATAGAAGATAAATGTTCAAAGCAATAAATGAGCTTGGAATGCCAAATCAGTTGGTAAATTTAACAAAACTACCTCTTAAAAAAGTTAAACGTAGAGTAAAAATTCAGGATGAACTGCATGAACCTTTTAAAACAAATAACGAGCTGCTCCAAGGAGACCCTCTTTCTTGTATACTGTTCAATCTGGCTCTGAAAAAATTAATACGTATGTGACAAATCACAATTATTGATTCAATATGTAATAAATTAGTGCAAATCCTGGCCTATGCTGATGACAATAATATTGTTGAAAAAACGAAAAACGCTTTACCAGAGGAGTATGTAGCAATAAAAGAATCAGCTACACAAATGGGTTTATTATTAAACACCAACAAAACCAAGTATATGAAAATAAGCTCGCAATCACAAATCCTACAATTATAGAAGCGCTTCTTAACAGTCAAACAGTACTACCGCAGAGATAACCAGCAGAATTTGCACGGCCAACAGATGCTATTTTGGGCTCAATCTTCTCCTTAACCCTCTATTGCATGAATTTATTTTATTTTATTTTTTGACGAAATAAAATAAAATTATATTAAATTACTCTTAATAGATTTATGTAGAATTCACCGATATATATATATATATATATATATATATATATATATATATATATATATATATATATATAGTTTTTTGAAAATGATCCAGTTTTTGAAAAAAAAAATGTGTGCCCATTTGGGAACATTATGTATAAAAACTTTTATTAGAACCAATTGTCATACACATTAGATAGATGTATTGTCAGTAACACACTATTCCAAATTGTGAAACTTCTTAAAACAATTACTTTTAGAATGAAAGCATAAATGCACATTTCTCGGACTGGACCCTTGATTTTCCTTTACAGTTTATCAACTTACATCTTTCCCTGTTTACAGTCCAGTTTGGCCAGTGTGAAAACTGATCTGTTTGTACATATATATTGGGTCTAGGTTCAATGCATCTTCTTTTGGATGGTTGTTCGGGTGTAGAACTTCCAGGACGACCTACTTTTCTTTTTTGTAAAAGACCACTGTTAGTTAGTTGTTCAGCTAGAATTGTTTTGAAATTCAGCAGTGGTATAATCTCTTCAGTTTTTCCAATTTGTTTTTTAATTCGCCTGTCTAATAGCCAAGCATTGACTACTGCTACATCCAGCATATGATAGAAAATACGGTGGTACCATTTTTTACTTTTGATTTTGATTGGATATATTCCCAATAAGGAATCTTGCAGATCCACACCGCCCATGTACCTGTTGTATTGTTGTACAATGTCTGGGCAATCAATTTCTTTCCTAGTTCTTTCGGTGCGAAAGAATCTTTCCACTTTGGCTGTTGGTTGAGTTCCACAATAATCTGACAGTAAAGACACAATTTTGTTGTCACACCACTGGACTGTATGTATTGCAGTATTCTCATACGTGCCAGAGTGTTCCTGAATGCTACCCCTTTGTAATTTTTTAATTTCCTTCTTTTGCCAACCTTTATAATTGAGAATTCGATTTGTACGGATTGTTGCGATAGAATGTATGCCTCGTTTTGACAAATATGACACCAGTGGTATGCTTGAAAAATAATTATCATAGAAGAGTTTGTGATGTTTATTGGATGGTACTTCTCTGCTCAACCGAACTACAACATTACTAGCAGCTCCCAAATTTACTTCATTCGGTAATTCTGTGTAACCATCTTTTCCAGCCAAAATTTCAAAATTATATGAAAATCCTGAGATTCCTGAGAGAACCCACATCTTGTATCCCCATTTATGAGGCTTTTTGGGATTGTATGTCTTCATGCTCGAACATCCTTTGAACGATACAACTTGTTCGTCACAAGATAAGTGTTCTTCTAAAGGTATTTGCAAACATGATCTTTTTATTTGTTCAATCAGAGGCGCTATTTTGTCAAGACTGCGCGTATTTTCTGAATTATTACTAAAATGAAGAAACCTTTTGATTGTTTCAAAACGATTGATAGGCATTACATCTGCAACTTGTGAAATTCTTGTTGTCGGAGCCCAATAGCGTCTTGTAGTAGGTTGTCTTATTAGAGACATCCACAGCAATATCCCCATAAATTTCAATTTTCAATTTCTACAGGACATGTGGTAATTGGCTTTTGTGGATTTGTTTGAGCGCTGTATATACAAGTTTGTCGAACTACCTCCATTATAAAATCTGGTGTCAAAAAAAAACTAAACAATTTGTAAGGAGAGTTGAGCTGCAATATGTTGATTGGAAGTAATTCACTACCTTCAAAATGCAGTTCATCTATATTTCGCACAGTTTTTGAAGGATGCCATGTCATTTGACTTTTTTTGCTAGATTTTTGTTTAGTAGGTAGTTCAGTATCCGAATCATCGGTTGATAAATTATCATCTTCATTATCAGAGTCTTCTTAACTGTCAATGATTACTCTGGGCCGGGTGGTTTGTGCAGCTAACGGCTCAACATTATCTTCATCAGATAGTTCCGAATCTTCACTTTCAGATGGAATCTGTCGTAACTTATAGGGCTGAATAGTTTTTGCTTTATTGTTGTAAAACGATGTTGGTGGAATACTTTCAAATTCATCCATTTTTTTTCCAAAAAAAAAAAGTTTACTTCAGGTTTATTCAAATTAATTTATTTAAACCAATAATGCATTAAATAAGTACCAACTTGATAAAAACAAGCTATAAAATATTAAATTTTTTCAGTTTCAAAATTTACTTTTAGCACACAATGTTCCCGTACGGGAACAGTAATAATTTGGGGCAAATTCTAACAACAACAAAGTAAATTTATTATTTCAATATATCAGTAGATCCTTACAACACTTATAAACGCGTATATAATTTTTATTTATCAAACTTACCTTATTTTTAGCTGATATTTGAAAATAAAATACACGTGCTAAACAAACAACTTACTCGAAGGTCACTTCAAACAAAACTGCTATTTATTGAAATAACCGGTGGGTATATCGGCAACACACAATACACATCTAAGAATGAACGTTCCCAAAAGGGAATAAGATGTGTACGCGCTTAAAATTGTCGATAGCAAATACTCATGGAAATTTTATATATTGAGTTCCCGTTTGGGTCCATTATGCAATAGAAAGTTAAATCCACAATTATATCGAGAAATACAAAAATAAAGCTCTACAAAATAATATTACGCCCAGTCCTAACATATGGTTCAGAGACATGGACTCTGAACTCAAAATACCCAAAATAATGAAAACATGTTAGGATTTTCCACAACACGTAGAAGAAATGTACCTATACCACAGGCTCCGAGATACGTACAGTACACTGTGCTTTTGCTAAACAAACTTACCCTTATTTAACCATTTACTGAAAATTTATCGAAAGCTGCACATTCATATGCAATATAAATATTGAGTTTCTCTGTTGATTAGGTTAGCATAACTAACAAGTTTTATGATGAAATTAAATCTTAATTATTATAATAATTAAAATAAACTTTAAATTCTAATAATGTTTTAGGTGACTATCTAAGAGATAAATATGATGGAGCCACAGAAGTGAGAGTAAACAGAAGAGGTCGCCTTCAACTTAGAGATCCCCAAGTTACCATTCCTACAGCTTATGATCTTGTATATCTGGAAGATTCTCCTAATTATTGTATTAAAGATAATATCACTGGATCATTGGGAACCCAAGGACGAGCCTGTAACAGAACATCGTATGATATAGACGGTAATATTGTTTTCCATAATTTTACCTAATTGAAATATATTCAACAAACGAGTTGTTTTCTTGTCTTCGCGATACTCAGTAACAGTAAGATCTTATTCATTACAGTTTTGATATTCTTCACTACAGTTTTTAGTTTACATTCACTAATTCCGAGTAAGTTACAAACGCGTTGATTTATCAAACCATTTAATGTCAATGTTATCCAGATATATACCCCTACAGCAGAAAAGAAATATGACAATGACGTCGAATCATTCTATAACTATTAAAACAGACACTTAAAAATTTAAAAAGTAACGAAGTCACATATATTATTGGAGATTTTAACGCAAAAATTGTCCAAGGCCTAAGATCTGACCTGGTAGGTGAATATGAACTAGGGGAGAGCAATGAAAGAGGCGATAGATTATACCAGTTCTGTCAAGAACATGACATGATAATCGCAAATACATGGTTCAAATTACACAAAAGAAGGTTATACACATAGAAAGGACCAGGAGATAATTCACTACATATGATTAGAAATCAGATAGACTATATTCTGGTAAACAAGAGATTAAAGAATGGCGTCACCAGAGTAACGACATATTTTGGTGCAGATATCGGTTCAGACCATAACCCTGTAATAACTGACATCAAAGTGAAGCTCAAAAAAGTCCAAGAAAGCTCCAAAACACCAAAATTAAATATCTCAATATCCAACAAAACGTTAATAGAAACTGACTTAAACAATGAGCTAAAGAAATCAATAAATGAAAACAACACAGAAATATGGAACACATTTAAAGATCTTACCTTGAAAATAATAGAAAAATATTCAACAACGTTACACAGGCACAAAAAACAACAATGGATGACTGATGAAATCCTGGAATTAATGGAGCAGAGAAGAAAACTGAAAGGTAACAAGACAGAATATAAGGAAAAACAGAAACTAATTAACCAAAAAATAAGGGTGGCTAAAGAAAAATGGATGGAGGATAAATGCAAGGAATTAGAAAAGTTGAATAAAAAACACGATACGTTTAATATGTTTAAAAAAAGTTAGAGAAGTAGCTGGTCTTTACCATAAGAAAACTCCACATACTATAACCGATTCGTCAGGAAAAATGATAATAGACGAACATAAAATTCGAACAACCTGGTGTAATTATATAAGTGAACTGTATAATGATGATAGACCCGAAGAACCGGAGACTTTAGTTGAAGGTGAAGGAGCAGAAATACTAAAACCAGAAATACTGCATGCTATAAAGTTAGCAAAGAACAAGAAAGCCGTTGGGCCTGATAAAATACCTACAGAGATGTTAAAGCTTATAAATGAGGAGAACATTTGAATACTTGTCAAACTTTTCAATGATGTTTATTCGACTGGTGATATCCCTGAAGATTGGTTAAAGTCCGAATTTATAACACTACCAAAAAAACAACGTCCGAAAAACTGTAGCGATTATAGAATGATTAGCCTTATGAGCCACACTTTAAAAATATTTTTACGCATCATCTACAGTAGAATCAGAGATAAATGTGAAGAAGATCAGGATGAAACACAATTTGGTTTCAGAAATGTACTGGGAACTCGGGACGCCCTCTTTGCACTAAATGTATTACTGCAGAAATGTCGAGATCAAAGGAAAGACGTCTTTGCTGTATTTATTGACTATGAAAAGGCCTTTACACACAAATTAATTACAATATTAAAAGATAAAGGAGTTGATAGTCAAGACATACGATTCATAGAAAAGTTACACTGGCGTCAAACAGCGACAGCTTGCATAAACGGAAAATCAACAGAAATATGTAAAATACAAAGAGGTGTCAGACAGAGTTGTATGCTATCCCCACTGTTATTTAATTTATATTCAGATAAAATATTTAAAGAATCGCTGCATAATTTGGAATGTGGCGTGAAAGTTAATGAAATTCTGATAAATACAATCAGATATGCAGACGATACAGTTATTTTAAGTGATGACATGAATGGATTACAATGCCTTTTAAATGCCATTGATACAGTGGGAAGAGAGTTTGGCCTAAACATAAACTGTTCAAAAACAAAACACACGGTGTTTAGCCGTTTAGCACATCAAGATGCACGATTATATGTTGATGGTCATATAATTTAAAGAGTGTCCAGTTTTAAATATCTTGGTTGCCATATTACTAAACAACTAGATCCAGATCAAGAGATAAAACGTGGAATCGAGATAGCCCGCACGACATTTTTAAAAATGAGGTCATTCTTCTGTAATGATAACTTGCAACTTCAACTTCGAAAGCGCATGGTTAAATGCTACATTTGGTCAGTCCTTTTATACGGTGTCGAAGCATGGACATTAAAAACATTCACCATTAATCGTCTGGAGGCCTTTAAAATGTGGCTGCACAGACGTATACTAAAAATTCCATGGACGGCTATGCTGACAAATGTGGCAGTCCTTGAGAGAGCAAATGCTGCTCGCGAGCTGCTTGATAACATCAAATGTAGAAAGATGGCCTAATTTTGGACACGTAGTAAGGGGAGACCGATATAATATTCTTCAACTTATTATGATGGCTAAAATCGAAGGACGCAGAGGAATTGGTAGAAAGCAGGCCTCTTGGTTGAAGAATATCAGAGAGTGGACAGGAACAAAGAAAGCTGAGCAACTCTTTAGAATAGCTCGAGACAGAGACAGTTTCGCCATGTTAATCGCCAACGTCAAGGGGACTTGATAGGGCACGCTTAGAAGAATGATCCACCATTGTCTCTTTCCATGGTAAAGTATGTATGCACATTTGCCATTAATTCATCAATATCCAACTTACATCTAGACATAATGATTATGTTCAATGTTTATGATGGTGCTAGGCATCATGGCTTTGAATTACAACATAATAAGTTTAGATTAATATGACAGGAACTTTCTAACTGTTGTGCTTGAGAGGTAAAATATAATATAACCGCTTACAAAGATTCTAAACACATTAAGAAAATTAACCTCATGATCATTAGGAATGCCGATTAAAACTTAAAACCTTACAAAACAAATGTTAGAATAATATTAGATTATTTCTTTATTTATTTATATTTTGAATTAATAGTAGGTATTTTTTAGGCTGTAACTTGCTGTGCTGCGGACGAGGATACAACACAGTAAAAAGTGTCGTCAAAGAACGATGTCAGTGCAATTTCAAATGGTGTTGCCAGGTAGAGTGTAAGACATGTGTGAGATCCATTGAAGTACATACGTGCAAATAATCACATGTTGGCACACCGATAGTGATAAAACATAGTGATAGGACGACAGTGCGGGTCGAAATGACATTTTTATACAACATACTGTAATACCACAATAAGGCTTAAGTATATCTTCCGCTCAGTGTTATTCCTAAAATTTGGTGTTAGGGTTAAAAAATAAATCAAAAAACTTGTATCGTGCAAATTTATTTTTGCCTTTTTCTCGCATTAAACCTTTTTTATTTGATAAGTTATATATTTTTTCAAATTCAAATGTATTTTTTTTTACTTTAACGACGAGGAATCTATTATTAACATATAACTTATAACAAAAAAAAAACAATTTCTCGAATCGGTTTGAGTACAATTTTGTTAGATATATCAAAGTAATAGTATATTACTTTATGAGGCGGAGAATCATGACTTTTCTTGACGCGCCCGATATTACGCGCCGAACGAAGTGAGGCGCGTAATAGAGGGCAAGTCAAGAAAAGTCGCTTCTTTGCCGAATAAAGTATACTATTTTTTCTTCAAACGTAGCAATTTTCAATCATAAATAGTACAATTCATACGCTATTTTTACTCGAAATTAACTGTGACAACTATCAAAGTCGTCTAGATGTTAGAAATTAAAATAATTAAGTCGTCGGTGGGATTTGCGTCTCCCTGGTTACAGTTGTTTGCAATTATTAAAGACAGCTTATTGTTGTTCGCAAGCCGCCAACATCGGGAATGATTGCTGAAAGTTGTTTCATTATGATTGAGAGAACTAATTATAGAGAACTCATATATATTTACTACTAGAAAGTAGCATTTTGTGTAAACATTGAGACAAAAAATTTTAAAGCATTTATTTTTTAAACCCTGAACCAAATTTTCATTATACAAACCAGCACTATATTGTGTTTTTTCCCACTAATTGTAGATATATTTAAAGCAATGTCTTGAATACAATATTATAGAAAAATATAAATTTTAAGTACAAATGGTAAATATGTATACATTTTGGTATACACAATGTATCAAACAATAAGAAACAATTATTTTATAGAGGGTAACACAGATAAATATATTTTACCGAGATTAAGGCCTGCATTTTTACCCTTTGTAAAATAATTTATAAATTTTTATGTATATTTAAATATGTTCTGGTTAAGATGAAACCATATTTAAGAATTTAAAGCGTTTATCAATATATTCTTACAACTTAAATGAAAACCAAATTGATTTCTCTGGAATTAAAAGCTCTTTACTGTTCATGGGCTTGGCGATACAGTTTGAGGAGGATATTTGTGCCTCTGTTATATGCTCTTCTCCTCAACAAAAGGATATAAACCTACAGCACGATCTTAAAGAACCCAAGGAGTTCCAATAACCTCCCGCACCTAAATTTCTCGTTGACATTTACAAAGCCATAAAAAAGTCTTTCCTAATGCTGCTCTCCGTAATACCATATAATTATGGAGTCACTTAGTATTCTCCTAAAAGTGTTTGCTGTTTCTAGTACCTTGAAAGTGCGACATAGTACCTTATAGTTATGAGAAATATGGTTTAGCTTCCCTGATACCAGCTTGAAGCTTGTCTATATGATCATCATTGTCTGCAGGTGTCTCTTGAGTTGCAAATGTCCCGTAAGGAAGCCTGCTGCGATGTTGAGTTGATCCCTACTTGTCTTCCGCAGTACTTCAGTTCTTAGATAGATCTTCCTCACAATTTTCCAAATCTTTCTATTTTGTGTCTCTTGTATCTAATTTTTTTGTCAAAGTTTTAGATCGACAGTTCATTGTATTGGAGGACGACACCTACTTAGGCATTATTCCTTGGGTTTTATTCCAGTATCCGCTTTGTCCATTTGTTATCTAGATACCATGGAGGAACCCAGTCCATCAATATTACGGGAAGAAGTTATCTATGCCATCAAAATCAGGGTGCAAAGGTATTAGACCAAATGATGTGTCCATCGAATTCTTAAAACTCATTGATAAAGATATTATTGATCTAATGGTTGAACTCTTTATTCTAATATATCAGACTGCCACAATTCTCAAACAATGCATTCCAAGATTTCCAACCTTCGATAGAAGATAGAAATTGAAGAAGAAGAATTATCTCTACAGCATCAGTCACTTCCGATCATCCTCGTATCAAGGTCTTTCAGCATACGTAGGTCGTATGATTGTGCTTTCCTTTTCTGCACTTTTTTGAGTTTGACTCGAAATTACAGTTAGCCAAGAGAGGCTGATTGGAAAGATTAAAGACATATCACTCAAAACAAGTCGAAAAAGAAAAATTTGTGAAGGCCCTTCACAAATTTTATAATAATAAGCGTAGTATGAGTATTTATGTACCTTGTGTTCCCGCTCATCATCAATCAGCCAATCGCGTCCACTGCTGGACATAGGCCTCCCTCAGTTCTTTTCAGTGTTCTCTACACTGAGCCGCTTGTAGCCAGTTTCCCGCTACACGTTTAATGTCATCGGTCCATCTAGTCGGTGGTCGTCCTCGGCTTCTTTTATAATTTCTGGGCCTCCATTCCATAATACGTCTTGTCCACCGTCCATCTTGTGTTCTGGATAAGTGCCCTGCCCAGTTCCACTTAAGCGTCGTGGTTCTTTCGATGACGTCTTGAACTCCTGATCTTCGCCTGATTTGTTGGTTTGTTATGTGGTCTCGAAGGCTCACGTTCAGCATTGCACGTTCCATGGCTCGTTGTGTAACTCGTTTATTCGCAGATTTTTGCGTGAGTGTTAAAGTCTCTGCTCCATAAGTTTGTACAGGTAAAACACATTGGTTATAAACCTTTCGCTTGAGACACATGGGAATTGAACTTTTTAGAATATGACTTAATTTGCCAAATGCTGCCATGTTAGACCTATTCGCCTCTGTATTTCATGTGTTTGATTGTCTCTGCTTATTTTGATTTCGTGTCCCAGATATTTGTAAGTGTCTGTTTGTTGTATGGTATTATTGTCAATAGTTATATTTCCACTCATTACCAGATTTGTTATAACTTTAGTTTTCTCAAAGTTTATCTTTAATCCTGCTCTTTCAGACATACTTTTAAGCGAATGCATCATAGAAACTGTATCTTGTAAGTTATCTGCGATTAATACAACATTCTGCAAACCTTAGGTGATTTAATCTTTCTCCATCTATATTGATGCCCATATCTTGCCATTGAGTACCCTTAAATATTGACTCTAGAGCTGCCGTGAACAATTTTGGTGAAATATTGTCTCCTTGTCTAACTCCTCGACCTAAGCTGAATTTTTCTGTGTCTTCGTGCAGTTGTATACTTGATGTAGCGTTCTGATAGATGTTTTTGATTAGTGTCGTGTACCTGTAATCTATTCGGCTTTGATTTAGGGCTTCCAGTATTGTTTCAAACTCTACAGAATCAAAAGCCTTCTCGTAATCGACAAATGCAAGAACCAGTGGTATGTTGTACTCGATGCACTTTTCTATTAAGATCTTTATGGTATGCAAATGGTCATTTGTGCCATATCCTGCCCTGAAGCCTGCCTGTTCTTTGGGCTGATAGAAATCAAGTTTAGGTGTTAGCCTCTTTGTTAAGACTTTCATAAAGAGTTTGTACATATGTGTCAAGAGGCTGATGGGTCTATAATTTTCTAATCTAGTAATATCGCCTTTTTTGTGTAACGAGACTATTACTGCATTGTTCCAGTCTTTTGGAATCGTACCCGCATGTAAGCATTTAGTAAACAGTTCGCTTACTGATTTTAATAAAATTTCTCCACCTGCTTTTATTGCCTCGATAACGAGTCCATCATCACCAGGCGATCGATGGTTCTTCATTTCCTTTTGAAGCTGCTCTTACTTCTGACACAGTAATGGGTAAAAGTATTTCCGATCCCTGATTTATGAAAGTCTTTACTCGTGTCGGGAAATTGTCTTGTGGTCTTTGGCTGGTATAGAGGTCTTTATAAAATTCTCTAGTTATTTTCAGAATGTTTTGTTTATCTGTTGTTGCCTTTCCGTCTTTATCTCTCAGCTTGTATATTTCTTTTTTACTTTGCGTAAGTTTTCTTTTCATTATCTGTAAACCTTTGTTCTCTTCTACTGTTTGAGTAATTACATTATTATTATATCTTCTTACACCTTTTCTAATTTCCGCTGAAATTCTTTTATTTAGTTTTTTATATTCTTCTTTGTTTCCCTTTTCGTTCTCGCTTAGGTTTCGTCGTATTTCCATGAGAGCCCGCTCATACCTCAGGGTATTGACTACAGACTGTATGGCTCGTCCAGCATGCCATAGCATGGAGAATAGGGTGCGCGCGTCATTTTTACAATGAAGACACCACAACTCCATAGCCTAACTCCAGTAAAACTTCTAGCGGTTCCTAATATCAAAATATCTTTTATCTATCTAGGATACCACGTGTTGCCATTTAAAATTTTGAAATACAAGTTAAAATATATAATAATAAATATCGTTATGAGTTATCAGTTGCATTTGGTAACATTATAACCAGAACATAAATCTGATTCAACTGACTGTATGGTTTTGTAGAGTGTTTGTGGGTGTTTATAATAAGAAACCTTAGTAATAAATATGTAAATCGTATTAGGTACTCTCATGTTCTAAGAACCAATCTTCCATCGACTTGTACAACTCTATAGTTTAAAGCAATGTATTATTTTTTATTTATTTATTTGTTTAAATTAGTAATATATTTGTTTATATTTTAAAACAACTGTTTATTTCTCAAAATGGAACTGTACTTTATTCAGTAGCTTAATTTCAACTTCGAAACTAACCTATTAGGGATATGTAGATTTCAATGCTAATTATTCCGAATTTAAAGAATTTTTATTAAGATAACTGGAAAAAATTCAAGCAATTGAACAAGTGTAAGAATTAAGTCGAAAGTTGAAGATAGGAACCAGGAACATTTATAAGCTAAAAAATGGACAAGGACATGCTATATATGAACAACAAGAAATTATGAAAATTATCGAAGAGTACTATAGAAGATTATATCGTCGAGATGATCACATTC